GGTGTGGCATTGTTAGTCAAGGACAGTATTATGGTGGCAGAAAGGACGTTTGATGACAACTCGTCTACTGAGGTAGTATGGGCTGAGGTTAGAACCAGGAAAGGAGAGGTCACCCTGTTGGGAGTTTTCTATAGGCCTCCGAAAAGTTCCAGAGATGTAGAGGAAAAGATTGCAAAGATGATTCTGGATAGGAGCGAAAGTAACAGGGTAGTTGTTATGGGGGACTTTAACTTTCCAAATATTGACTGGAAACGCTATAGTTCGAGTACTTCAGATGGGTCAGTTTTTGTCCAATGTGTGCAGGAGGGTTTCCTGACACAGTATGTAGATAGGCCAACAAGAGGCGAGGCCACATTGGATTTGGTACTGGGTAATGAACCAGGCCAGGTGTTAGATTTGGAGGTAGGTGAGCACTTTGGTGATAGTGGCCACAATTCGGTTACGTTTACTTTATCGATGGAAAGGGATCGGTATATAACGCAGGGCAAGAGTTACAGCTGGGGGAAAGGCAATTATGAGGCGATGAGGCAAGATTTAGGATGCATAGGATGGAGAAGGAAACTGCAGGGGCTGGGCACAATTGAAATGTGGAGCTTGTTCAAGGAACAGCTACTGCGTGTCCTTGAGAAGTATGTACCTGTCAGGCAGGGAGGAAGTGGTCGAGCGAGGGAACCGTGGTTTAGTAAAGAAGTTGAATCTCTTGTCAAGAGGAAGAAGGAGGCTTATGTAGAGATGAGGTGTGAAGGCTCAGTTAGGGCGCTTGAGAGTTACAAGTTAGCCAGGAAGGACCTAAAGAGAGAGCTAAGAAGAGCCAGGAGGGGACATGAGAAGTCTTTAGCAGGTAGGATCAAGGAAAACCCTAAAGCTTTCTATAGGTATGTCAGGAATAAAAGAATGACTAGAGTAAGATTGGGGCCGGTCAAGGTCAGTAGTGGGAAGTTGTGCGTGGAGTGCGAAGAGATAGGAGAGGTGCTAAATGAATATTTTTCGTCAGTATTCACACAGGAAAAAGACAATGTTGTCGAGGAGAATACTGAGATACAGTCTATTAGACTAGACGGGATTGAGGTTCATAAGGAGGAGGTGTTAGCAATTCTGGAAGGTGTGAAAATAGATAAGTCCCCTGGGCCGGATGGGATTTATCCTAGGATTCTCTGGGAAGCTAGAGAGGAGATTGCAGAGCCTTTGGCTTTGATCTTTATGTCGTCATTGTCTTCAGGAATAGTGCCAGAAGACTGGAGGATAGCAAATGTTGTCCCCTTGTTCAAGAAGGGGAGTAGAGACAACCCTGGTAATTATAGACCAGTGAGCCTTACTTCGGTTGTGGGTAAAGTGTTGGAAAGGATTATAAGAGATAGGATTTATAATCATCTAGACAGGAATAATTTGATTAGGGATAGTCAACACGGTTTTGTGAAGGGTAGGTCGTGCCTCACAAACCTTATTGAGTTCTTCGAGAAGGTGACCAAACAGGTGGATGAGGGTAAAGCGGTTGATGTGGTGTATTTGGATTTCAGTAAAGCGTTTGATAAGGTTCCCCATGGTAGGCTATTGCAGAAAATACGGAGGCATGGGATTGAGGGTGATTTAGCGGTTTGGATCAGAAATTGGCTAGCTGTAAGAAGACAGAGGGTGGTGGTTGATGGGAAATGTTCATCCTGGAGTTCAGTTACTAGTGGTGTACCTCAAGGATCTGTTTTGGGGCCACTGCTGTTTGTCATTTTTATAAATGACCTGGATGAGAGCGTAGAAGGATGGGTTAGTAAATTTGCGGATGACACCAAAGTTGGTGGAGTTGTGGATAGTGCGGAAGGATGTTGCAGGTTACAGAGGGACATAGATAAGCTGCAGAGCTGGGCTGAGAGATGGCAAATGGAGTTTAATGCGGAAAAGTGTGAGGTGATTCACTTTGGAAGGAATAACAGGAATACAGAGTACTGGGCTAATGGTAAGATTCTTGGTAGTGTGGATGAGCAGAAAGATCTCGGTGTCCATGTGCATAGATCACTGAAAGTTGCCACCCAGGTTGATAGCATTGTTAAGAAGGCGTACAGTATGTTAGGTTTTATTGGTAGAGGGATTGAGTTTCGGAGCCATGAGGTCATGTTGCAGCTGTACAAAACTCTGGTGCGGCCGCACTTGGAGTATTGCGTACAGTTCTGGTCGCCGCATTATAGGAAGGATGTGGAAGCATTGGAAAGGGTGCAGAGGAGATTTACCAGGATGTTGCCTGGTATGGAGGGAAGGTCTTATGAGGAAAGGCTGAGGGTCTTGAGGCTGTTTTCGTTAGAGAGAAGAAGGTTAAGAGGTGACTTGATAGAGACATACAAGATGATCAGAGGATTAGATAGGGTGGACAGTGGGAGCCTTTTTCCTCGGATGGTGATGGCTAGCACGAGGGGACATAGCTTTAAATTAAGGGGTGATAGATATAGGACAGATGTCAGAGGTAGGTTCTTTACTCAGAGAGTAGTAAGGGCGTGGAATGCCCTGCCTGCAAAAATAGTAGACTCGCCCACTTTAAGGGCATTTAAATGGTCATTGGATAAACATATGGATGATAATGGAATAGTTTAGGTTAGGTGGGCTTCAGATTGGTTTCACAGGTCGGCGCAACATCGAGGGCCGAAGGGCCTGTACTGCGCTGTAATGTTCTATGTTCTATGTTCTAGATGCTGTTAAGTTGTGGTTGACATGAAACATTGAACAATTGTTCAGGTCTTCAGCTATGGTCCTATGTATGGATAACCTGCCTTTAGAACACGAGGTATAAACAAGAGCAGACCATATAGCACATGGAGCCTGTGCTGCCATTCAGTCTGACTATGGCTGACCTTGGGCTTCAACTCCAATCAAACATTTATTGGAACGGCATTGTGTTGCTCACAGAGAAGATCTTGGAATAGATAGTGCTTGGAAGTAGGTCTCAGTTGTGCAAGGTATTGCAATGCTTCTAAGAACAGTATATAATATTCAGCAGATCATCTGTTAAGGAAAGACAATTTGAACAATTTGCCAGAGTTGCACAATGTGATGCAGTGGCATTTCAACTGTGAATGAAGTGAGGTGGCTGTCAAAACTGTTTGCATTAAGTGCACTAATGTGAAACTACAGTATCTTGATCCAAGCAAGTGACTAAATGCATTGATCCAATAAACAATATTGCCTAAAATACTCAAGTAATCACACTACTGCATTGACAGCTCTAAAGAATGTTCTAATGAATTGGCATTACTATGCAAATTCTTTCAGAGGATATGTTTGACAACAATTGAAGCTATGCATTTTGCCAAGGCCAAGATTAGTAAACTGAAGTCTCAGTATCTTGGTTAATGCGTTTGTTGGAGAAAAGAAAGTTTGGCTGTTGTAAACAATGATATTGACATTGCTGCAATCCTTCAATTTATTTAACTGCTACGTGACAACTCAGACAGCAGATTTCCAGAAGAGTTGTTGAAATGGCATGCATTCATTAGGCTACAATTGATTATAAATTTGGAAAAGAAAGATTTGTACGACTGATATTGAAATATTTCATTTTTAGACCAAACTTTGAAGGAAATGTGACCACAAAGATATTTGAACAATGTTCTGATTTCAAATATTTGGTTGTGGAAGAAATCAGGATGAGTTCCATTCAGACGTTCAGTGATTTGGTGGACACTGTCCTATCGCAGTTTCAGTGAATATCCATTCTTCCGGACATTTGTGTAACATTTCAGGCATCAAGTCCTGACAATCAGTGTAGATTTAGCCTAATGTACTCGATTAAGTCTAAATCTAGAAATAGATTGAAATCGATCACTTTAACAAGTAGTACATTTCATCTGGTCTAAGTATCAACCTGGATGTGGTCTTCAATCATTGGCTGACAAATAAAGGTAGATGTAAAAAACTTGCCAACAAAGGAGTGAAGAAATTACTGTTGTCCTATTTTGGTTGTGTGTTATACATGGCATAAGCAGCATCACCTCTGAATGGGTCCCCAGACTTTGGAGCTGAACAAACAATTTTGTTTGCTTCCGCAGATTGAATACTTGGAACTGTAAACTAATGTAAATACACACATGAATAAACAAATCGCCAAAATATTTCTGTATAACTTCTATTCAGTGGATGCTCTGGTTTGAATGTACCTCTAGGAGGCACCGCAAAAAATTAGAGGAAACATTGGGTGCAAAGTTCAGCCCTGATCAGGATTGCTCATACTCGTGGCACCAACAACCATTAAGATGCAGTTTGATATCTCTATAATCAGTTAACAGCTGAATACTGATAAAGGTGTGTTTCAGAAATTTTTTCTACTGGAACAAATGAAGGTGCAGGCATTGCAAATATACTATCTCTCACTAATTGAAGAGGGTGGCAGTTAGCTCAGTTGGCTGGATGGCTAGTTTGCAATGCAGAGTGGTGCCAACAAAGCGGGCTTAATTCCTGCACTGGCTGAGGTTATCATGAAGGACTCTCCTTCTCAAGCCCTCCCCTCACCTGAGGCATGGTGACCCTCTGATTAAGCCACCACTCGTGGTCTCTCTCGAATAAGAAAGCAGCCCAATGGTCTTGTAGGACTGTGGCAGTTTTACCCATAGATTACACTTGTGACTGTCTGATGGGTCGTATGACCTTAAACTGGCTTGGAAGGATTCATCGTGTTATCTTCATTTTGATACGTTCAAAGTCATAGAGTGTTTGTTATACATAATTTTGAATGTAACATCGTAAAGTGTCAAACTATAAGGAAAAAAAGTAAATAATTTCCCCTCATTTTTGATTGCCACCCCTTCAGATACAGTCCTCAACAATTGTCCTTGAATTGATCTGGGGAGATTCTGTTGAGTTCCTTACACCGTAACAGTGGAGATTATCTTGTTTCACTGCATTTATCTGTGACTTCAGCATTATTGCAGCAGTTAAAATACAGTCAGATAGATATAAATAACACTGGAGCGCTGGGGGAAAGAAATTGTAATTTATAAAAATGACGTATCTTTTATTTTCAGGTCAAAAAAGAAACCCAGCATCTGAGAGAATTTGAAGAAGGATTAGTATGTCAGTACAAATTTTACCTGGAAAATCTTGAACAGACTGTTAAAGGTATTTAATGCTTACGACACCGCAATCTGTGTTTCTTCAGAAAATTGCCTAAATTATTAATTATAGTTATGGCAAAGAGCGCCAGCCATGGCTCAGTTGATGGCATACACAGCTCTGAATTTCAAAGTTCCTGTTTCCAGGCTCCGTCTGCCTGCTAAACTGGATGGAAAAGAATCCCATGGCACTGTTTAAAAAAAGCGCGGGAAAGTTTGCTGAGCTTAAATTAGCTGCCATGTTTCCTACATTACCACAGTATCTTCAGAAAGTACTTCATCGTCAGTGAAATGCTTTGCAGTGTCTGGTTGTCATGAAAGTACTGTATAAATGCAACTCTTTCTTTTCTTTCAGAGATAGCTGCCAATGTCTTGTATATTGACAGAAAAATATCATGCCTAGCTGTACTTTCAGACTGACCAGACCAGAATCTTATCATATGGATCAAAATGAATATGTACATCATGTTTAATCAAACTGAAACTGAATGAGTTGCCATACTTACAATTAGTCCGTTGCATCATTAGTTAATCCTTTTTCAGCTGACGGACCCCTTTTCAAATTGTAGAGTTCTATCTGTAGAGAGTGTTTTAATAATGCTTTTAAGGTTCAAAGCAAGTAGCTATTCCATAAATAGATTGGTTTCCTTCCTTCCAGTTCTTCACACTCAGTCGAGCACAACTGAGTCTCAGGAATATTGTGGATATGTGCAAACTCAGCCCAGTTACTCCGTGTTATTAGTTAAGAAAGATACATTATTGTAGCATAGGTCTGGCTTAAATCGATACTAATAGCTTAACAGCAAAGAGTTTTGCACCTTTACCTCTCCACCCAAAATATATTGAAGACTCTGCTGAAAAATACAACAGCTGAGGTACTCCATACTATAAAGCAAAGTGTGTGTTCAGGATTAGGCAACCTATCAACTACTCATGCGGGACTGTCACGATCGTCAATATATACATAAATTAATATATATAAAATAGCCAGCTTGCAGCCTTTACTTCCTTCCCCTTGTATTTTTCTCTCACTCACTCTCCACCAGAGAGACTATTTTGTGGAAACGCTGTATAAATCTTCAGTCCATGGATTCCAATTTGAGAATTACTCCATTACATGACATGGAGAATCAAACTTGATAACAGTGATAGAGATGAGCCTGCATTTCTTGGTTTTCAAAGTTTGAGTACTGATTTTAAGGCAAAGGTTTTATGTATTATGCAATAAACATTCAGTCAAGGATTTGAAAATAATTGTCATCAGCTATAGAATATCAGTTCTGAATTCTGCACTTCTCATTAACCCATAAGAAAGAGGGAAAAGATACTGTAACAATAACTTGTATCACTGCCATGGCTTTTACATCTCTTGATCCTTTATATAGGAAAAGATGAATGCTGAGCATCAGTTGGAGTGTATATGAGATGATCCAAAGTGGCTCTCAAAATAGCTTACAATGCTTATGAAAAGAGGAGAGAACTTCCATATTAAGATAGTTCCTTACAAGTCCAAAAGCACTTCACAACTGATTAATTAGATTCGAAGTAAAGATGTTTTTGAGCAAGATGATCTAAATAACAAATAGATCAATGTCCAGTTAATCTGATTTAGGAGCATTTAGTTGAGGAATGAATGTTGACTCGGACTGTGGGAGCACTCCTCTTCAAATTGTGACCTGAAATTGTGATTGATTCTTTTACATCCACCAGTACAAGCAAGCAGGGTCCCAATGTCATCCAAAAGGCAGCAACTTATTTAAATGCCTATTTAGTAGCTTTGTTGGGTTTGAAGCTTAGTTCTGTATTAAACAGGACTTTGTGGTTATGTGCTGTTTGATTCAGGCTGAATCAGGAATGAAAAAAAGGGCAGAGCTAGAAGTGAAGGTTTGGACTTTTAGGTGGCAAATATGAGCTCTTTGGTCCTCCTAATGGTAATGAGAGGAAATTCTGGAAATGCCGCAAATTAGTGACTTGCAGGCATTCTAACAAAGATGCTGCAGTTGGTGACTTTACCTGATAGATCTGAGGTAAGTGGAATCCAGATGAGATTTGATCAGTGAGTTGTGTAAGTTGAGTACACAACTTGGGTGACAAGTGACCACACTTTAAAATACTTTGTGTTAACATGTTAAACCTGTTGTTTGGATGCAGTGAGTTGTACTTGCTGTCTTGCTATTCCAAAGTTGCAAGTGTTTGACCAGCCTTGATAATTTCCCAGTGGCTGAGAACATTTCCTTCAAAAGTAACACTGAGTATCCACAAGAAAAGGGAGTTTATGTAAGTGAAAGTTCCAGCTGACATTTGTTCATGGGATGTGGGCATCGCGGGTTATGCCAATGTCTGTTGCCCACGTGACACTTGAGAGTTTCATATTTTGCTGTAGATCTGGAGTCACAGGATGGAAATTTTTAATTCCTAAAGGACATAAGGAACATGATGTGCTTTTATGATAATTGACAGTGGTTGTTACATGGTTGCCATTAGGCTAGTTTTTAATTCCAGAATTACATTTTATTGAATTCCACTTCCTCCATCTTCCACGGTGGGATTCAAACCCGTGTCCCACAAAACATTAGCCCGGGGCTCTGAATTACTAGTCCAGTGACGTTACTGTTATGCCTTCTCCTCCCCTCTATAACTATAAAATTCAGATCTCTAGCATTCCGAACTCGATTCAGTAAAGGCCTCTCTTTAAATGGCGTGAGTGAGTGGACGACTTAACTGTTCAGTTACTGTTGGTAAAGTGTGCTGGTTTTAGATTATATCTGAGAACAAACTTTGTATCGTGTGATATTAGTCATTGTCGTAGAATTAGAATAGAGTGAAGGGTAGCATTAATAAAGGAAGCCAGCTGAATGTAGCCTTTATTGGCATTTAGCCATTTCTGAATTTAAACGTATTTTCTTTTTTTCTACACCCAGATTGGAAGCAGATGAAGAAAAAGAAGAGTGATGTTGTTTCATTAAAGGCGTACAAAGGCCTTGCAGAAGTGGCTGTAAAATGTCTTTGTGAACTATTAGTGGCTTTGCCTCATTTTAACTTCCACAACAACATTGCTGTGATGGTTGTACCACTTATGAACGATGCATCAAGAAAGGTAAATCTGTACTGTAATATTTGTTGAAGTCATGTGATGCATAATGGTTAAAGTTAAAAAAGTAAGCTGACATTGTCGTGAAGGCGAGTTTTCAGTGGGATTCTCAGCTCATTTGTTAGATCTTTAACAGAAGAAGCATGGAGATATGAGGAAAATGTCTTCCTGTGTTTCCACAGCTCTTCTGTTGAAATTACATGGGTAAATAAAAGAACCCAGTGGAAGTTCAATCCTTTTCTTAACGGTATGATGGAATGAATATCCCATTTTGACTTGTAAAATTCTGGGATGGGTTGTTTCATGTTTCTTTGAAATGATGTTTGACAGTGATATATCTTCAGATTTCAGAAATGTGTTGTGGAGCTGTGGAAAGACTTTTTAAGCAGGACAAGATTGGCCAGGCCTCCCTCACTGTGGTCAAAATAATTTCTGGTCTTGTTAAAAGTAGAAACTATGAGGTCAAACCGGAGGTAAGTTCTAATGGGGTTAAGTAATTAGAAGACTTTGGTATCATTTTGTGTACTGCATTCGTAACCTTGTGCTGTGTTCTGAATTGAAAGGACACAAACAGAAACGTAGGTTTGAATTTATCCAATCCTTTGACAGGTTCGCAGATACAGAAATAAGAATCTCGGTGAGCAAATATCCTATATATTTCTGCCATGGAAACTTCCCAAGATAGGACGGGGAAGTGCACCAGCTGTTTTTCAACAGACATAAGTAGCCAATTTCCAGTGTTAAGGCCTGAATGAAGGGCAGTTTTGCAACCTCAGCCATTTGGCCCACCACTGTGTGTGCTTGCTGCCAGCTCGAAAGGAGAGGACCTCTGCTGCTGCTAGCTGGGTGGTGGCATGTTGAAGTTAATGGTACTGTGCCTCACCTGTGTTTCATATACAAGTACCCCCAAATCCATTTGTGTCGCAGTTTTATGCAGTTTTTCTCATTTAAAAATGCTCTGTTCTTTTGTTTACCCATCTAAGATGAACAACTTCATATTTTCACATTATACTCCATTTGCCAACATATTGCTCACTAACTCAATCATCAGTATCTCTCTGTAAGCTGTTTGTATCCTTCTCGCAATTTGCCTTTCCATCTACTTGCTTTTGTCATCTGTGAAGTTGGCTACAGTACATTCGTTTACTTTCTCCAAATCATAAAAAAATTCATCATGCTGGGATTTGAACTCTTGTCATCATTAGCTCGAGGTTCTGGATTTCAAATGCAATGACGATACCACAACACTGCAGCCTTACCCTAAGAACAGAAAACGTTCAGGCTATAAACACAAATATAAAATTTACTTCGATTATAAACAAAACCATTTTAAACCTTCAGGTTATAATTTAAAAATAAAGGTGAACTTTTGATTTGTCAGATCAAACTCCAGTTCATCCAAACATACGGAATGAGATGGATATAAAAGAGAAGTGTACATATAACATTAAATTGACTAATTCTGGTGTCCTAAAGATTTACTGAAATCTTAATAATAGTCTTGACATTACCACTTCATATTTGCTGTGTAATTACTGCTAGACGCAGTCTGAAGATTTATACTTGTCATGAAGTTCTTCCTTATACAGGTACATTCTGTTCCAGTCTCTCAAATGGTTCATAACCCCAATGTTGATTTGTCCAACCTTAACTAAAATGTGTAAATTCAAACTATATTTTGTAAGTTACCGCAAGGCACTTATTAGGGCCCCGCAGTGAGAGAATGTTGTGGCTGCAGGTACAGAAGCGTGCTTAATTTACTTGTTACTTTTGCATTTCTTTCATCTCTTCAAAAACAGCTGAAAGATTCTCCATTTAGACCCTCAGGCAAATTGGGCAATATGTTAGTGTCAGTGAGTTTAGTTTAATGATGGACCCCAGACTGTACTATAAGCGCTGCTAATTTTCAGAATGTTTCTTTAATTTTAAGATTGCATTTTAAATGCTTGAATTGCAAACTTTCAGGCCTACATTACTTTGAGAATGTCAAGGGTATTGTGGTATGCTGTGCAGGCATAGGATTAGAATTATGAGGAGTAAATTATGGAATCATAAAATGGTTATAGCATAAAAGAGGTCATTGTGTCTCTGCTGGCTGTTTGTGAAAACAACTCACCCAGTCCTACTCCCCCGTCTTTCCCCTGTGGTCCTGCATTTTTTTCTTCAGCTAATTAACCATTCTCTTCTGAAAGTTCTTGAATCTGCCTGCTCCATGCAGTAAGGCACTGCATTTCTGATCCTAACCACTCACTGTGTAAAAAAAGTATTTTCCCATGTCACTTGATCGTTTGCTTTAATTTATGCTAGGATAATCTGAATATATTGTCTAATAAGTATTATGGGGTTGTTGCAGGCAAATTGAATTTGAAAGAATAAAAGTGACAACATCCAAGTTCTAAAGAGCTTAATTTGACATGATGTTTTAGAGTGCTGGTAATGAGATGTGTATGTATGCATTTATATTCACTACTTTGTTCAAATAATATCTGCATGGCAACATTAGAAGTTGCTTCATCTCGTCAGCTCAAGATGGAAAATTACTCAGTTACCATGGTTGCTCTCACTCTCCTTTAAAATATCTGGGAAAACAGGTTTTATGTCCATCTTCGTAGCCTTAATGGATATGGGAGGTGCACAGAAACAAATTGACAGAAATAATGAACTAAAGCTAAGCATAGTGAAATTTGGTTGGTTTGGGTGCTTTACTGTATCACACCATTCTTAATATGAGCTATGTTGATTCACTAGCAAGTAACATTATGATTCTAAAGTATACATATACATCAGTTTGTGGAGTTTGTTGTATGTGAGTATAACTTCTGCTTTCTAATATCCAAGTAAGGTCTTAGGAACCAAAATCAGAAATTGCTGGAAAAACTCAGCAGGTCTGGCAGGACCTGTGGAGAGAAAGCAGAGTTAACATTTCAGGTTCGGGGTTTTTGGGGAATCTGGGGTGTGACGGGAAAGAGGAGCCAGCAAAGGAGGAGACTTGTACACTTACTTAAGAGCCTGGAAAGAGAGGAGGGAGCCAACGGTGGAGTAAACTCGGGAATCAGAAACAGTGGGTCTAAAAGGGGTATTCTCAGGAAAAGCCATTAATTCATTGGTTGGTAAGTAACTGTTAATTTGAATACCTATTCTAAGTTGCTTGCAGATTAAAGATGTTAGAGAAATATTTTATAGATAAAAAACTAAAGGCCAGAAGGAAATTTAAAAATATGAATTAAAATTAATTTAATAATTTAGCAGTGCAGGGCCAAGCGATGTGTTGTATCTGCATAATGTGTAGAGGGGGTGGACTCCATTGTGATTCATAGTGACCACATCAAATATTGGTTGCCTGAGGTTGCCAGCTCAGAGTTGACGAGCTGGAGTCAGAGCTTTGAACAGTGCAACCACATAAAGGAGAGGGAGAGTTACATGGGGGCTTAGTTTCCAGGGGCAGTCACACCACATAGGTAAAGTACTCCAAATTTGAACAGTAGTCAGGGACAGGAAGGTGTGACTGTAAGTGAGGCAGATAGAAGGATCCTGAACTTAGCACTAGCTGAGCCTCAGCTCTTGACCTCGTGTAACAAGTGTCAGTAACTTGGTCCCTGAGTGGATGAGGGAAAGGACTGTAGGGAGGTTGGGCAAACTGACCACTGAACTGTGGTCTCGGAGGCCATTAAAGCAGAGGGTGCAAAAAGAGATCTGGAGGAGGACTCTATAACTGGAGGTACAGATAGCATCCTTTATAAGCAGGATCAAGAGTCCTGCATGGTATGTTGCCTGCCTGGTGCCAGCATAAGGGTCATCTCAAACCACCTTGAAAGGGTATTGGAGTGGGAGAGGGAGGATCCAGTTGTTGTGGTTCATGTTGGGACCAACAACATCACAAGAGTAGGCAAGAGGCCATGTTTGGGGAATATTGGGAATTAGGAACAAAATTTAATAACAGGACCTCAAGTTCTAATATTTGGATTATACCTGAGCTACATGCAAATTAGCGAAAAGATAAGAAAATTAGAGAAGTAAACACATGGCTAAAGGAGCTGTGCAGGAAAGAGGGGTTCCATTTCTTGGGAAACTGGCGTCAGTTTTGGGACAGGAATGAACTGTATTGGGACCAGCTCCACATGAACCAATGTGGGACCGATGACCTAGTGAAAAGGCTAAATAAGGTCACAAGGAACTGGGAGGGGGTGTGGCTCAGGAGGAGTTAATACAGATTCAAAATCAATTTACAGGATAGAGAATAAAGAAACAATCAGGAATGTCACTTTAGATATGGCAGGGAATGTTAAAACTATAAGTATATTGATTAAACTGAAAGAGAGAAAATTAATAAATAGGTGAATAAAGCATCAGTGCTGAGGGTTACCGTGTGTGGTCCATATAAGAGTTCTGTATACAAATGCGTGGAATTTAAGGAATAAATTAAGTGAGCTGTGGCACGAATTGAAATTGGAGATTATGTAGCCATTCATGAAGTGTGGCTTCAGATGGTCTGAATTGGAAGCTAAACATACCAGGTTATAACATTTATGGGACAGACAGGAAAAATCGCAGAGAATGTGCAGTAGCCTTACTGATTAGAAACAAAATTACTTCAGTGGTGAAGGAGGACATAATGAGGGAAAAGCATTCAGTAGAGACTGTATGGAGGTGGGGAACTGAGGAGCAGAAAAGAATCTAAAACTGTAATAGGTGTTGTGTACAGACCATGGTAGCAGTTCTGAAGTGCTAGATTGTATTAATGCAGAAATTAGGCAAGGTGTAGCAAAGCCAGAGTAGTATTAATGAGGGATTATAAATTTTAAGAGATTGGGAGAGGCAGACAAGTTTCTTTCAGAAAGGTAATGAATTTCTGTAGTGTGTTTAGGATAGTTTCATACAGCAATACAAAAAGTATGGAACAAGGGGGCAAGCAATATTGATTTAGTGATGAGTAATGAGCCAGATTTAATTAGTAACCTAATTATATGTGAACATTTATCAAATAATGATCATAACACGATTGAGTTCAATGTAGCATTTGAAACTGAAAAGCATGGATCAGCTATTCGAGGTTAAGGTATAAGGAGGGGTGATACAAACTCGGCCTGTTCTCTCTAGAATTTAGAAGCTTAGAGGGTATCTGATCAAAGTTTTCAAGATATTAACAGGAAAAGACAGGGTGGGTAAAGATGAACTATTTCCACTGATTGGGGAGTCTAAAACTAGGGTGTGTAGTCTGAGAATTAGACACCAGACAGTTCAGGACAGATGTTAGGAAGCGCTTCTACACACAAAGGGTGATAGATGTTTGGATCTTTCTTCCATAAATGGCAGTGGATGCGGGATCAGTTGCTAATTTTAAACCTGAGATAAATATTTGTTAAGCAAAATTATTAAGGGTTATGGGCCAAAGGCAAGTGTATGCAATTAGACACAGATCAACCATGATATCATTGAATGGTGGAATAGGCTTGAGGGGATGAGTAGCCGACTCTTGTTCCTATGTTCAAATAGGTCTGGATTTTTAGTGCTCCCTTTCCTTTTTATAAATAGATGCATGTACTTCCACCCTTTGCTGTACAGAAATCCATTTAATTTTGCTGAATCCATTTGTATTTTTACTTTCATGGGTCTTCCCTGGTAACTAATTCCACACCATAAGATACAAAATATCTGTCTGAATTTCCAATTCCAATCTGTTTAAGTATAATTCTATTTTGTCAATTAGGTGCTTAAGACATTTCTTGCCTTGCGAATTAAGGAAGTAGAAGTTAAAAAAGATTCAGAGGATATTGCCCCTAAAAAAAACTTCATGACATACAAAGAGAAGAGGAAAAATCTTTCCAGGATGCAGAGAAAGGTAATGTTTCCACTGTCTGGCCTTCCTTGCAACACCAAGCAACTGTGGGGAAGTTTTTTTTCTACTCTGTTAATATGATGATTCTCTGTGCTTTGACTCAAGTGGATCAATTGGTTTATAAAATATTTATTTTTCAGTGGAAAAAAGCAGAGGAGAAATTAGAGAAAGAACTTCTTGAAACTGAAGCTTCAGAAAGTAAAGACAAAAAACTGAAACTGGTATGTGGTTTCTGGGTTTCAACCCTTAATGTCTCTATATCTTTGACTTGCTCCTAAGTAGTAAAAGCACACTGTCAAAATTTCAATCTAGCCAAGTCAGAACCTAAATTCACAGTAGATTACTAAATTATTGAAATTTTAAAACAAAGACTGCAGCAGTTGGAGATGTGTAAACCACGTTCTTGTTCATATTGGTGGTATGGCAAGGTTACCAAGATGATTTGCAATGTATGTCATGCCACAGTAAATGCTGGAGTGTTTGCAGTTGGACTGAAAGATGATGCAGATAAACATGACTTAAAACATTAAAACTGAGTAGAAGGTGAGGTGTTTGTATTTGACAAACAAAAAAATTTAAATAATCACAAGGCTTCTCTAGAACTTTAAAATTCCTCTTTTAATTACTCTAAATCATTCCGTAAAGCCCTTGTACGCAACATAGACATACTTAATTTGTTATGTGTTTACAGCTATTGGTTGGTTGGTTGGTTGGTGCATCTGTCATAAAACCTTTGTAGTGTATTAAAAACGCTACAATTTGCCTGCAATGCCATTCTGTGTCTTCCACTCCTTAAGCAAAAACTAAAGCCAGCATTAGTCTGTAGGACTGCTTTCCCTAGGAGATATGTCTTTTCCCCGTTACAAGTTTTTTTTGTGTGTTGGCGACCACACGTTTGCAATATGCCATAGTGATTCACGATCTACTAAACCAGTTTCTGTTATGGAAGTCCTCATTTAATTTTGTAGCTGTGTTCCTGAAATTTGAGACTTAAAGTGAAATGACTTTTAAATGACACATAGTTTCCTATATAAATTGCTGTTAAAGCCAGAGTTCGGTTCCTGTGGGCATTTTATTGCTCAGAAAAGTAGTTTACAGTTTGAGATATTGTGTCCTAAGTTCCTGGAATAATTTGCAACTTAAATTACTGAATATAAAAGGAACACCATACAGGTACTTCATGACCCTTCTGAACAAAAAAGAACTTTGAAAAAGCTTAATAAATTTAAACTATGTGCATTCCAAAATGCCAACATTCATAAATTTGTTAAATTTATATGTTTTTATAAAATATACCTAAAATACTAAATATAATGGGTCTTGTGGCGCAGTGATAGATACAAGTTCAAGTCCCACCTGCTGTAGAGGCGCCCTACCTTCGCAGAACATGAGTTGATTTAAAACAGATTTTACAATATAAATGTAGTTACTACAAATAAATGTTCAAAATAAATTCCTATGATAAAGCTTCAATTGACCAGGCTCCATCTAGTGGCAGAAGTTGTGAATACAGTTCACTGCACTGATCAATTTTGCCACTAGATGGAGGCCCTTGGTGTGTGTTCAGAACCACAGCCAGGACAATGGATTGGCTTCAATTACAAAGGGAGCAGCCCAAGGTAAGCTACTGATGAGGAGGGAGTGCAAGACTTGGGGGATGGGGGAGGAAGCAAAGCTGCTCTGGAAGGCAAGTCCACGGTAACACCAGAGGAAAGCAACACCAAAGGGAAGAAGCAAGGGCAGTGGGGAGATGACTCCAAGAGTCAAGGACAGGGATGGGGCAGCCATGTCAAACCAGGACTGAGTAGGAATATGCCTTAAAACTAAAACAATATTAAAGTGAAATGGTGTTTTGCAGCATAACTTAAAATGAGGATTTGTATTTTATTAATTACATAGTTGGAAAATGCTAAAGTTTAAATAGTTGTGTGCATGAATTGTTTCTACAAAAGTTGTTGAACTTTTGTCAATAGATTTTTTTATTTGTATTTATCCCAAATCAAGATTTTGCTAATGGGGCTTTCTGTCTTGCTGACAGCATACTGAAATCCTGAATGTTGTGTTTCTGACGTACTTCAGAATCCTGAAGAAAGCACAAAAATCAGTACTTCTTCCTGGTGTTCTGGAAGGCCTTGCCAAGTAAGGGAACGCATTTAATTCATTTGTATATTTGACACTGATTTAAATTTTGTGATTTGACTCTTATAGTTATCCATCACACAACCCTGCCTATAATCGCCCATATTTTCAGTGTTCTTTCCACCTAGAAACTAACCTTACAAAATGTTCTCTCAGATTTGCTCACCTCATTAATGTGGAATTCTTTGATGATCTTCTGGTGGTTCTCTCTTCTCTAATTGACTCTGGGGTGAGTGCAAGTTATTCCCATTACTGGAGAGATTTTATATTACAATCAATGGATAGACAGTTTGCTCTTGTATTGATTGCTGAATTTCACACTCTCGTTACAGAGTCTTCATTACAGGGAGTGCCTTCACTGTATTCAGGCTGCCTTTCATGTACTTTCTGGACAAGGTAGGCTCCTGTGAGAAGATTTTCAGCTGTATTACTGAACTGAAGGTGGCAGTTGGTTTTGTATTTCACAATATATCTTGATAAGATTGTGATTTTCTAAAACTATTCATGTTGAAACTTAATTGTGGTCCGAGTCTAAAAATTAAATCCTTCAACTTTCTGTCTGTTCTTCAGGTGATGTGCTGCACATTGATCCAATGAAATTCTACACTCAACTTTATAAGATGTTGTTTGTGCTACATGCTGGTAATTTTAATTTTCTGTTTTTTTTAAAATTAAGAATAGATTAACAAGTGGCTCACTTCACATTTCTCTACATTGAATTGCATCTACCATAGTTTTACTCATTCAGTTTGCCTATACGTTTGCAATTTACTGCTAACTTCAGCATCATTTGCAAATTTGGATATAGCATTATTTTCTTCATTCATCCTAGTCATTAATATATACAGTGAAAAGCTACAGCCCTACTATAACAAACAACGAGTCTGTGACAGGTCAAGTGCCACATGTGACATCCAATCAGCTTGAGTATTCACTCATTGCTCAATAAGGAAATTGCATTGATAGGAACAGTCTTACTGATTCCTTCAAATTATGCTGTGCCAAATGAAAGGCTGGTATGTAAATTTTTGAAGCCCATTAGTGTGTTCTGTCTGTTCGTATTAATCCTGTTACCTTGTTAACTGATTTAATTTTGCAGAGGAAAAGTGTGGCAAAATTGAGCATGTATGTAAATTGAAACAGTGTTATGATACGAGTTGGTAATTGTTTGGAAAGGAAGAAACAGGACAAAGATAAAATTTTGTTTTTTTGGTTCGTGGTGTTCTCCAGGCATTTATAGTAGGGCTGTAGCTTTTCACTGTATATATTAATGACTAGGATGAATGAAGAAAATAACGCTATATCCAAATTTGCAAATGATGCTGAAGTTAGCAGTAAATTGCAAACGTATAGGCAAACTGAATGAGTAAAACTATGGTAGATGCAATTCAATGTAGAGAAATGTGAAGTGAGCCACTTTGGATATGAGATAGAGAAACAGCAATATTAATGGTAAAAGCTTAGAATCTGCAGAGGGGTAAAAGAATGTTGGTATCTGTATACATAACTCCCTAAAAACACATGTCAAAAAGTATCAAAAGCAATGCCCAAGCCACGGCCAGATCCCATTGGAATGCTGCGTCATTTTTTGATACTGAACCATAAGGAAGATGCTGCTTCAGGGAAGGGATCTTGTGGCACAGTGCTAGTATCCTTATCTCTGGACAAGAAGGTCTGGGTTCAATCCCACTTGTTCTGAAGTTGTGTCATAAGTCCCAACAGGTTGATTGAAATAGCTACTGCACAGATTCACCTGAATGATAACAGCAGTTAAAGAATTATAAGGACAGGTATAGTAACCATGGTTTGTGTACTCTTGAGTTTAGACAATTGATGGATAATAATGGTTCATTTACCACAGAAATTGGTAAGTGTTTTCATTTTAACAGGAATGATAGTGGCAATCTCTCCCAAAGACTACAGTCACTGGGCCAAATGAAAGTTTGAAAGACCGAAATTGATATTCTTACTAACCAAAAATTTATCTGAAAACGTGGAATAAAAGTGCAGAAATGAAGTTGTTTACAGATTGGCCATGATCCAATTGAATGGTGCACCTGAAGTGCCTAATCCTATTTCTGTTCTTCTGTGGAGAATTAAAGTTCAGTGAATATTTTTATTGTACTTTTTATTTGCAGAATTTTGTTCCTTTCTTTACAGTTGTTTGAAGGTTAATTTCATGGTTTGACACCAGTTGGAGTTCACTAACCTACAGAGCTCTTTCTTTGGTTCCAATTTTCAGTCTAATCTTTCTGAATTACCCATTTATCAATTTAGGTGGTGTGTGCTATGAGCCTTTTCTAATATAAACAACGTTTGAGAATGTCTGTGTTCATTTCTTGTTGGGTCCTTCAACCAGAGCAGCAGAGAAGAGACTTTAATCCAATCTAGCAAGAACATGGAATGGTACAATACAGGAACAAGTCCTTTGGCCCCACCATGTCTGTGCCGACCATGATGCTATTCTAAACTAATCCCATCTGCCTGCACATGGTCTATATTCCTCTACTTCCTGCCTTTTCATGTGTCTGTCTGAATGCCTGTTAAACTTTGCTTCAACCACCTCCCCTACAGCTTGATCCTGGCATCTACTACCCTCTGTGTAAAAAAAAAAAAAAAAAAAACTTCCTTGCACTCCTCCTGTAAACTTACCCCCTCTCACCTTAAACCTATGCATCATAGAATTTGATACTTTCACACTGGGAGAAAGATTCTCGAGTGTCCAGCCTATCCAAGCCTCTCATAAAATTATATACTTTGATCAGGTCACCCTCTGCCTCCAACACTGTAGTGAAATAATCCAAATTTGTTCAACCTCACTTAATAATAATAGATTTCAATCCAGCTGACATCCTGGTAAACCTCTTTGCATCTTTTCCAAAGCCTCCACATCGTTCCTATAGTGTAGCGAACAGAACTGTAACCAGTATTTCAAATGTGGCCTGACTAATCACGTAGTGTCAACAGGGCTTGCCAGCTTTTGTACTTAGTGTCCCAACTATGCCTTCTTTACCACTTTCAGGGAGCTATAGACTTGGACCCCAAGATCCCTCTGTATATCAAAACTCCTATGGGTCCATCCATTTATAGTATACATTCTTCTTGCATTTGCCCTCTCGATGTATCACCTCACTCTTGTCTAGATTGAACTTCAACTTCCCAGCTGCTCTATATCCTGCTGTGTACTTTGATATCTTTTCTCATTATCCAGAATTTAAAAAATGATTTGGTAATTCCTGGTGCCTCTTCTGTGATTGATCATTAACGTCTCTGCAGACAAGTTGCAGTGTTTTCTGATGTGGTGTGCATAAAAATCTTGGCAATAGCAATTCAAGTAGTTGGCCTTATTCTGTTGTGAGATTATCACAATCTTGAGAGATGTTTGAACACAATTGTTTCTGTTTTTCAGGGGATACAAATGAAGATGTTTTGATTTTGCTGCAATGTATAGACGTGATGCTGACAAAACGCAGAAAACAAGTTTCTTTGCAACGTGCTAATGCTTATTTGAAACGTCTGACTACTCTTGCACTTAATGTTCTACCCAATTCTACCATCGGTATCCTGGCAACTAATAGGGTGTTAATGAATGTAAGTGCTCTCATCCTAGGAAATGTTGACTATTTGTGATTAAGCTGCAGTGTGACCTTCCTTCCATCCATCTCTTGGCCAATTTCTGCTCAACTTATCCATGACGTTGTCACCACAAAATGACTGTGCCATTGTGTCTAACTCACATATCCCAACACACATGAAATCTTGCTCGCCACCATCCCTCATTTTTTTGCTGCCTTCTGATCCCCCATATTTTTTTATTTAAAATTATTTTTATGGCCTAACTCCTTCCTATCCCTATAACCTCCATAGAGTCACTTGTCATCGGTTCAGCCACTGAATACTCTAATCCTCTGGGACTTTATGCATCTCCTGTTTCATCCTTACAGCTACCATAGCAACCTAGCCGTCAACTGCTTGTCTCCACTTTTAAAAATCTTTACATAATCCCCTTCCCGTCTTCATATTCCCTCTCCTTAAAATGTACTTTCTCAATGATGGTTTTTGTCACCACTTGTATTTCTGTCTTCATCTCAACATTTGATTTACTCTTTCACTTCTATGAAGTGCCTTAGGGTGTCTTTTTTTAAAATAGTTGAAAGCACTTTGTAAATAAATGTAATGGGTGTCGTATTAGGATATCAATTCTTGAATACAGCAGAACACATTCTTTACCATTAACAATTACATTATTTTGATTTTTTTTTTCCCCAGTATGTCTTGCATGGTTCAGTAAAAGATTTTGTAGTTATTCTTGTTATAAAGTTAGCCATGCCATATGATTATTATGTGTCCTTGATGAGTTAAATGCTACCATCGTCTGTAACGGATCAGGATTTACCTTTAAAACTTGCACTTTGCTATTATTGAGGTCTTCTCAACATAGTATAATCCTTTTAACTACTACTCTGTGTAATTGGATACCTGTGTGAAAGTGAATAAATGTGATTGTTGCTGAGGAACCACATTACCGTTTTAGTCAGTTTTGTACTTGACATTTATGTAACTACTTTATAGTAGGAATGCTTCTTCCTTATGAGAAGGCTAAAGTTGAATTGAATCTTATACCATGTGTATTTTTAAAATATTTCTTCCAGTCGTTTCCGAAGACAGATATTTTGCTCGATAATGAATCCCATGGTAGTGGACTTTATCTGCCAGAGCTTAATGAACCTGAATACTGTAATGCACAAAATACTGCATTGTGGGAGTTACACTACCTCCAGGTAAACTTAGTTTTTCATTGTATAACATTGTCTATTTAATCCTGTTGGTTCTGCACAAGTAAACAGGAAACATTTTAATATGAAACTCGATATCAACAAGTAGAAATCTAGAAGTCCTTTTCAAGTTCGTTCAAGAGGAGACTATTTTCTTTTGTAATATATTAATTCCAGATTTGTAGTACAATATTTTTTTAATATTCATTTGTTAAAACATTCATGTTGTTTAATCCCTGTATGTTTTTTTTTTGTATGACAACATCTGGGATGTTCATCAATAACGTTGTTGATTTAATTGTGCTAATGCCTGTTGTATTAGTACTGCAGTAAATATGCTGGAAAATTGTCTATTCTCAATCTGTTGGCCCCAGTGCATTCCAAGTCACTAGAATCCAGGATAACCGCATAATTTCCAACTTTTTATTGCAGAGACATTTTCATCCTATGGTACGGAGTTTTGCAGCACATCTTAGTGTTGGTGCTCCGTCAGAGGGCTCTGGAGCTCTGAGAATGGAATTAAGCAGAAAGTAAGGAATTTTACTGTTTTACATCAAAATAACTGCATTGTTATAAATTCTGGTCTCCACAACCACCACTTTGTTCATTACAAACCACAGTTTGCAATCAGTTTCTCAAATGCTTTTTGCTGCTCCACTAATTATTGAAGATGCAAAGTCACATCCACTGTCTACAAACTGACTGCCACTTTTGCCCACAACTTCTGTGTGAGTCCATTGGGTACAAAATGCTCTTACGATTTGATAGGCACTAAATAAATTCTTTGTTTATTGAGAATTAGGGAGTACTGTATACTGTGATCACCATGAATTTATCTACTTGACCCAGGCATGCTACAGAGCTTTTTGAGGAGTTCAGCATGAAAGAGATGACCTTCAATCCTCCAATCACATCTTCTGGATCAAAAAAAAAGGTAGAACAAACTGTAAATGCCCCTTTATTCTCCTTCATCCATTTTGTAGTAATATGTTTGTACTAATTGATGTAACAACAGTATTTGACTAGATTAATCACACCTATTAGAGTAAGACATTTCATAGTAGGGTGAAAAATTTTGTGCATTGTTTCTCCTGCCTGTGAAACTCTTTCCTCATGACCAAATGTGCTCAGTATCTCGAGACAAAATCTGTCAAATTTACCTAGTATTACTAAGCACGTTGATTAGAAATAAAAGTAGCGCAGAGATGATATGGCACACCTACAGTGCAGGTGGGACTTAAACCCAGGCCTCCTGGTCCAGGGATAGGGACACTACCACTGTGCCACAAGAGGGTCCCAAATCTGCAGCCTCAAAAACAAAGTCATTTCTGTATTAATGTGGAGTATTAAAGTTTGAATATGTTCTTATAAAACTTGACTACCACTCCTTAAGCTTGTGATTGATGCTATAATTTCAGAAGTCTACAACACAGACTGCAATCCTTGATTCAGAGCTACAAAAGCACATTAATCGGCTCCTTGAGAAACCCTTCATCACAGCTGATCTCAAATTTGCTGAAAGTTTCCGAGCAGAATTACAAACATGATTGAAGAGTGTTGGATGTTCGTTACATATGGCGGTTCACAAACAAAAAGGTTTATACAAGTTGCAGTATTTAAACAAATATTGGACTACCTGTATTAATTCATTTTTTGTGATTTATTCATGGTATCCACTGTGATTATGTGTAAGCAAAAGTGAATCAATCATCCATAGCCTTGCTCTTTCCTTTGTGAGCAATAATAACTAGTTATGACATTGATCTGTACAGATCACAGTACAATCCTGTACAAAAAATTATTTTTCTTGGGCTAATTTAACAATTATAGCTTTTTTTTAAAACAAAGATATTTATATAAAACATGTTGTTGTCCACTTAAATATATAATGGGGGAAAGCTTTCAGTCTGTAAACTATTACTTTTGAATAATAAATAATTGACAAAACCTTATATAAATGTTTCCTAGTTATGAAATTGCTCAAGGGATAGAAACTAGGAGCAGCCATAGGCCATTCAGGCCTGCTTTGCCTTTCAGTATGATCCTGGTTCATCTTTTATCTCTTTCTCCCAATCCTCTGTGATGCCTTTAAAATTTCTCTCTCTTTCTGGAATATAGTCAGTGACTTGGCCTCCACAGGTTCACTATCCTTTAGAGTGAAAACATTTTCCTCCTTATCCCAGTATTAAATGATTCATAACATAGTGAGACTGCCCCCTGGTTCTAAACTTCCCAACCAGGAGAATCCTCCTCCCTGAATCTAGTCTCTGTCCAGCCCTGTTAGAATTTTATACATTTCAATCAATCAGATCCCCTGTCATCCTTCTAAACTTTAGTGAATACAGGCTCAGTCAAACTGATCTTTCCTCACAGGACAGTCCTGCCATCCCCAGCTTCAGCCTAGTGAACCTCTGCTGTATCCCATCTGTGGCAAGTATATCCTTTCTTTGGTAGGGAGACAAAAACTATATGCAGTACTCCAGCTATGATCTCACCAAGGCTTTGTCTTATTGTAGTAAAACATCCCTACCTCTAAACTCCAATCCTTTTGCAATGAAGATCAAAACAACATTTACTTGGTATACCTGCCTGTTTACTTCCATTGACTAGTGTACAAGGACACCAGATATCCAAACACATCACCATCTAAATAATAGTCTTGCTTTCTGTTTTTCACATTGAGGTGTATAACCTATTTATCCATGTTATACTGTATCTGTCTCGTGTTTACCCACACTCAACCCTGAAGCATGCATCTTCCTTACAACTCAATTCCATCTAGTTTTGAGTCATCAGCAAATTTGGAAATTGGTTCCTCCATCCAGGTTACTTTACACATCATGAATAGTTGGGGCTCGAGCACTGATATGTGTGGTTAATGACTAGTCATTGGCGTTCTACTCTGTTTCTGGTCTCTAAACAAATTCTCAATCCACACCAATATCAAACATTTTAATTTTGCCCACTCACCTTTTGAAGAACCTTGTCAAAATCTCCTGAAAATCCAGATGAAAATAAATTACATATAAAAGCAGGCTAACGCAACTGAATAGCACACTAAGCTCTCTGTTATCACACTCTTCATAGAATACTTCAATTTCAAGTCGTCAAAGTGTATCATTGTTTAACTGTTTCCTGTGCCTCTTTTATATTTGAGTCACTGGCTCTATTCCATCAATTTTACTATTTACTCATTATAGAAGGGAGACTTCTATCTCCTAAGCTTAATTCGATTCACAAATTCTAAGGGCTGGATGTCCTGATGCTGGAGGCATAGAAATAGTCCCTTTGATGTTTGTTGGTCAGCATAGACATGGTGGGCCAAACTACACTAATCCCATTTACCAGCACTTGGTCCATAGACTATTATGCCCTGGCATTTCAAATGCTCATCCAGATGCTGCATAAATGTTGCCAGGGTACCTACTTAAACTACCCACTCAAACTGTGCATTCCATATATCTACCACCCTCTAGGTGAAGAAATGTTTCCTCAGATCCTCTCTAAGCCACTTTCTCCTCACCTTAAACTTGTGCTGTCTAGTTTTAGACACATCTGCGATGGGGAAAAATATTCTCTATCTATCCTGTCTATGCCTCTCATAATTTTGAATCCCTCAGCCTCCTCTGCTCCAACAAAGACAAACCCAGCTTATCCGGTCTCTCGTCATAACAGATTCTGCAGTTCAGGCAACATCCTGGTAAATCTCCTTTGCATCCTCTCCAGTGCAATCATGTCCTTCTGCTAGTGTGGTGACCAGAACTGCACACAGCATTCCATCTGTGGCCTAACCACTATTCTCTAAAGTTGCAACAACACTTCCCTGTACCTATATTCAATGCCTCAGCTAATGAAGGCAAGCATCCTGTATCAGAGATTGTAAGAACTGCCGATGCTGGAGGAGCACAGAGGATCAGGAGCAAGAAAGTTGACGTGTTGGGTCAGGACCCTTCTTCAGAAAAGCATCCTGTATGTCTTCTTTATCACTCTGTTTACCTGTGCTGATACCTTTAGGGATCTATGGTCTTGTACACAAAAGGTCCCTTTGTTCCTCAGTAATCCCCAAAGAGCTACCATTCATTGTGTATATCCTTTCCTTATTAGGCCTCCCAAAATTCATCACCTCACACAACGATTGCATTCCATCTGCCATTACTCTGCCTAATTTACCACCTGATCAATATCAGACTGTAACTTGAGACAATTCTGAACAATGTCACCAATTTTCATGGCACCTGCAGACTTACACCTTCTATATTTGGGTGCAAATTGTTTATGCACATAACAAACAGCAGGGGCCCCAGCACCAATCCCTGTGGCACACTGTTAAATCACAGGCTTCCAACAACAAAAACAATCCTCCACCATTACTCTATGCCTCCTATTTGTGAGCCAATTTTGGATCCAGTTTGCCAACTTACCTTAGATTGCATGGGCTCTTACCTTTTGGACCAGCCTCCCATGTGGGACCTTCTCAAAAGCCTAACTGAAGGCCACATTAAATATATTGATAAGGGTAGTGCAGTTAGTCACCTTTTCAAAAAAACTCAATTAAATTAGTCTGTGTTGACTATCCCTACTCGATCCCTGTCTTTCCAAGTGTTCCTGGTACCTACATATTTTCACTGACATGGGATAAGTCTTTGGATTGCAAGCCCACACCCTCCACCCCACATCTTTGCAGAGCTTGGACTCTTATATGAGCACCTCCTGCAATTTCTGTGGACTCGAGCCAGCTTCTCCAGGTTTGTAGCCATAGGAATCTTGGACCATACTCTGGATTTGGGAACTTTTGAAGGGTAAGTTGGAAAACTCCTACCTATGTCCAATCATATTCTCACATGCCAACCTTTCTGTATCCAACATGCCTATTCAATCTAGTACACACTATATACAGAACTAATAAACCATGTAATATAACAATGGCAAGTAGTGATTACAAGCCAACAACATCTGAAAGAAATGTGAAATGATTGTTTTATCCACAACGTAAACTCAGTTTTATCAGCATGCCACACAGAATGCGAACATTCTACACATCCTGTCTTGAATCATTTCATTTTTCAAAATTTTTTTTGCTTATGTGCACACATTTTTGCACCTTTCTTCAGTGCTAACTATTGCAATAAATGTTATTCAACAGCCAGTCATATCTAGCATGTCTCTCTTTGGCTCACCATTAGCTGATCCATGAGCAGTGGAACAGACCAATCTGCCATTTTTCCTTTTGGTTTGCCTCTGATTTACTTCCTCTATAGGTTCGGACACAATAAGTATAATCAGTAACTTGGTATATTTTCAATCATTTCAGAAACCAACATTGCACAGTAGCAGCGCACATTTACATCAGAAAACATTACATATTTTGTGGTTTATCCTGAATGGTTGAAATGCTGGTGGCAATCTTATGAAAAAAGATAAAAACAAACTAAAAATGTTTGTGAGAAATCATTTTTGATATGCTGATACATTTCAGATACTTGTCTGTTGGTACAGACTTGATATTTATTCTGATCAACTCAACATTAATACTCTAATTGTCCAAGTCAGTTACAGATATAAATACATTAAACATTTAATTCGCAACACATATTCATATACAATCTGAAAACATGATTTGTATAAAAAATGGACATTTGGCACAATTTTGCAACCTTTAAAAACATAACATTGCACTGTTGAAGTTCTCAGAATACCAATACCTTCAGAAATCTTGACATCTCCTTTGCCTATCGATAGAACTAAGTACAGTAAAAATTAATATAATTGTGGGTTACACACACACACAATTGCTAATAGTAATTTACTTTAGTATTTACCCAATAGTTAAATTTGATAAATAGGTGCAAGGAAAATGCATTAAACAGTTCAACTGTAGTATTTACAAATTTAAGACCATAAATACCAGCCTTTGTTTAAGTAAATGCCCAGTGAATGTACTGTGATATCATGCAGAATGAGCCTGCAATCATTTTATGGCATAAACCTTGTCAATGCAGCCTCCATTAGATGTATGTTCACAAGTACAAGTGGCAAGAGTGTACCATTGAAAACTGTTTCAACTGGCCCTCACTGACCTTATGAAAAGGTACGTTTAAAACAACAATAGACTCGAGGAAAAAAAAAATGAAAAGCAAAACTTGTGTAAAAAGAAACACTGATGTCAGGGCAAACTAATTGAAATGCATCGGGACACAAAGCTTCTGTTCATACTGAGCAGAGATTAGTTAGGAATAACAAAAAACAAATGCTCTAGCCAGAGAACATGTGCTGGTCAAATGAAACAAAGTGAATTTCCACTGTTCAATATCAATACAGAACATGCATTCAATGACACTGTTCATTATTCAAGAAGAGGTAATCTATTAATAGAAATCTTATATGATTGTGGTAACTCTTACACAGTGAAATTTCAGCACAATAAAAAAGGGAAATAAATAAAGAAAGAAATAACTGCTGACATTTGTGAGAGGCTATGCAAAATTAGAACTAAAGGGGCTGCAGCAACTCATGCTTTTGTTTGTCAATTGTCACTTTGCACAACATTTTAATAATAAAATACATTATCTTCCAAGAAACCAATTTTTCTGTCTGGTAGCAGTTAAGAAAGCATGCTAGATGGGCAAGTTATATCACCTCTGCTACTAAAATGGTGCAAACAACTTTCATGTGGTGACTATGACATCATCTGACAACTATGTGGGTACATTTAAAGTTTCAACTAAAACTCATCTAATCAATATTTAATTGTGTAGATGAGAATGACCCACCTAATTTTTAATTGAATCTTAGGTAACCTCAAGCAGAAATATTAATTTTACATTTCGTAAAGCAGGAACATCAGCTCTTCCCTTGTTTTCGCGTTAATTTTTTTGTAAGCAAGAAAATGTAGGGAGTAAACTATATATTTAAGATGTTCTTATAATCTGTAATACATGGAGTAATGCAAAAAATGTTAAGTGCCTTTAAAGAAGCAAGTAATTAAATAATCTTGTAACAGCTAGTGGCTGTTTCCACAAGTTACTCTTAAGCATCTCAAAAACTTAATTTACTTAATGCAGGCCATTTAGTGTTTGTTATTAGTTTTATAAGTTGCTGTCATATTCTTGAATGATAAAATTTCATTTTTGTTGTTCAAGCTGTAGAGTTGGTGGTAAGTTATAGCTCAGTCAGGCACATGAGAAAGTAACCTCTGCAGTGGAAGTTTCAGGAGCCTTTAAGGCTTTCTATCAGCATTTGTTGTTCCTGTTACTGCAGTTTGGATAGGTTATGTGTTTTGTACATATGCCATTGAGAGTCCTGCGGTCAATGTTTTGATGTGTCACTACTATAACTCTATTTGAACTGTCATTAAATATCTGTGTTTTAAAATCATAACTTATTGAGTAAAGCGTTTAAACATTACAGCTGCTTAGCCACTATATTAAGTAACTTAGGCACACAGAAGCTGCCAAAAACACTTGTATATTTTGCACAGTTCAATGGTATGTTGTTTTTTAAAAACAATTTTGGCCTAACACAACGTAACAACAAAATTAAAATGCTCATCAGAAATTAAGGAAAAATGCTCAAATACTTAATGGAAATTTCTTTCCTGTTTGACTTCATTTTCCACAAGAAATTCAAGTACACATACGTACATACAGTTATAAGATGTGCGTGAAAGTGGGCACTTGTAAATAAAAATAATTAAAAGTTGTGTTCTGTAGTATCAAAATAAGCATGCCACTTGGAACTTAAACATGAGAATATAGTAACTTTAACTGGAAAGTGTTCAATGTCTGCTTAAATAAATAATTCAGTCTAATAATTATAATCATTTCAATACAAATGGACAGTATTTTATATATCTCAAAATTTACATGATTTTCTACTACAGTAAAATTACATCATATCTTTATGAACACTTTTTTCATAGGTTTAATGTATGGATTCAGCACATTCTATCAGAAATTATTCTCGTTCTAATTTAAATATCTTGTAAACATCAAAAAGTAGTAACTTTGTGTGACAATTCAGCTTAATATTACTACTGAAGTTGGCATCTAGCAAGATTCTGGATTGTAAAGTAAATAGGTACCTTCAAACATACAAATCCTTCAAATAATCAAGGAAATAAGTGATTGGGAAAGTGCACAATGTTTTACAATTCGTAACTTGTAAAGTTCTTAGGATTATACCTGCATATCTCTATACCCAGTACTACTGAAGACATTGCTTGTCTCTTTGAACAGTATTGATGGCTGCTTGCAGATGTGCCGTCTTCCTTGTTCAAACCACGTACACATCGAAACAAGCTTGATTGGAATTTGTTGCTAACTCATTATCTTCTGTCACCTGTACCAAATGATGTATTTCATTCCAATGACTGGACTTTATGCAATTTCCAGTTTTTAAACACAACTGAAAATACCAGGAGACGAAGGAAGGAGTGATGTTACATTTTTCTGGTTTTCCCCAACATTAACTAAAAGTCCCTGTGCATCATTTTGACATAGTTGTAGTGAAGAACTATGGAGGTCACTTTTACAACAACCTGTAGGAAAAGAGATTCCTTTTAATGTTTGGCTGTAAATGTTAACTGAAAAAAATTAAATATAAAGAACAAAGAATCGTTATAATAAAAACCGAAAGAACTGCGGATGCTGTGAATGAGGAACAAAAACAGTTGCTGGAAAAGCTCAGCACGTCTGGCAGCATCTGTGAAGGAAAAAACAGAGTTAACGTTTTTGGGTCCGGTGACCTTTCCTCAGAACTGATGGCGGCTGGGAAAGCTTCAGTTTTTCCATCAACTTTGCTCTTGTTTTGTGCCTCTTGTTACATTTATTAGATTTAAAAAAAACCTAGATTTTACGTAATTACTTGTATCTATTTCAGATTTCTTTTAAAGAAATCTACATTCCAGATTTACATTCTAGATCATTGATAAGAAGAACCGATTGGTTACTAATTCAGATCTCCTGAGGTGGGTAAATAGATGCTTCCCATCTCTTAGGGTATAACCAGCTGAGACTGACATTTCTCATTTGGGTTTCTCAAAAAGTTTATGATAGCCATTTTTTGCTGCTAGTCAGAAGAAATTCAAAAACGACAGCCCCAGAAGTATAAACAGAATAAACAATTCGATTGACATTCTATAAAATGAAGGAAGAAAGTTCTATTGAAAATATCCCCATGTCCCACAGTATTTGTAATTTTCTATTTGCCAGAAATATGTAAGTTAATAAATAGTGATAGTAAATTGGTACAATCAGAAATAAATAGGCAATAGATATTTTAACTGCCTTTGACAAAGTAAATGGTATCATTGCAGATTTGGAAGGTGCTATTTTGAATTCTACCATCTCCAAGATGCACTGCAGAAATTCACCAAGATTCCTTAGGTAGCAGCTTCCAAACCCATGACTATGTCCATCAAGGAGGATTAGGGCTGCAGATACATGGGAACACCATAACCTGCAAGTTCCTCTCCAAGCCACTCACCATCTTGACTTGGAAATATATCATTGTTCCTTCATGGTCATTGAGGCACAAATCCTGCAACTCCCTCCCCAACAGCATTGTGGCTTTACCTACACCAAATGATGTCCAAGAAGGCAGCTCATCCCCATCCTCTCCAGAGCAACTACAGATAGGCAAGAAATGCTGGACCAGCCAAGTGATGCCCACATCCCGTGAATTTTTCTTTCTTAAGTAGAATACATCATCCTTCTCTAGCATGTCTGCACTGTCATCCAACTAAACTGCGTGGGACTACTCCCTCCTGGTTCTTATTTATCTAACCATAGCAGGAATATCAATTGCAATCTTTATGCATTAGGGGGAGGCAATGAACTAGTGTATTATCGCTGGACTGTCAATCCAGAGACCCAGATAACGTATGGGGACCCGGCTTCAAATCCCGCCATGGCAGATGGTGGAATTTGAATTCAATAAATATCTGGAACTAACGGTCTAATGATGACCATGAATCCATTGTCGCTTGTTGGAAAAACCCATCTGGTTCACTAATGTCCTTTAGGGAAGGAAACTGCCATCCTTACCTGGTCTGGCCTACATGTGACTCCAGATCCACAACAATGTGGTTGACTTGTAACTGCCCTCTGGGCAATTAGGGATCGGCAATAAATGTTGCCTAGCCAGCGACGCCCTCATTCCGTGAATGAATTTTTTAAAAATTTATGATGTCTGGTGTCCCACTGTCATTGGCCCCTTCCTATTTCTCAGCCATATGATGCCCTGCAATGATATACTCCAAATACATAGCATTTTTTAGATGAACGCTGATGCATCCCAGCTCTATCTCCCTACCACTAAAACCCCGGTTCCTTCACTATCAACCACATCTCTCTCAGAAACAAGCTGAAAATAAACCAGTCATTTCACAACCTGGCCACAAATCTGCTGCTGGAAGCTCATCTTGGGGTCAAATATTGAAAGAATTAAACAGGATATATACAGCTCAGAAACAGCCCAATCTGCTGTCTGTGTCAGTATAAATTTACCAGGGATTTCATCTTGAGCTTGCCTTGCCAGTGGAGAATATTATCTGACTGTGAACATCAGCATTCTGGATATTCAGCAATCTGTGCTGATAGCAGGCAAAGTTGCTTGGCAAGAGCACAAAATCAAAAAAAACAAAAAAAATGCCTCCTCTGAACTTCCATGCCAAATTCAGGAGTAGCAGCGTGACACACCCTGCACAATTTAAAACAGGTACCAGCTGGCTACAGAGCCTGAGGAAGCCTTGGGTTGCATGATCTGAGGAGGGCCACTTAAATGTCGATTACCATTCTCCCACCCAAGAACTCTCCATTGCCATAGCACCCCAGTCCCTCCTAGCCGCAGGAGCTGTGGTGGTTGCCGGCAATGCATTCAGCAGAGGACAAGGTCACTGGCTCAGGATAAACAGGACATTGAAGAAAGGGCAGAAGGCCGGCACTGCTGTCTTTTGCCAGTGGGGAAAATCGATCAGGCAGTGTGGTGGCTTTGAAAGAGAGAGTCTACCCCATCTCCATCCGCTGAGGGCCCACAAACAAACTAAATGAGGGCTTGCGTTTTACACTCCGAGCACGCTGACCACCCACCAACGCAGCAGCGTGAGGCCCTTCTGTGGGTATTGCCTACTTCATGGGCTCAATTGGCATCAAGGCCATCCATGAGTTGGGGCATTTTCAGTGTCCCCACCACACTCTGTCGCCTGTTTAAATACATCCCGCTGCCAAGCTTGTCTCAGGACAGGGCCGTAAATTCTGCTCAATGTGTGTTTGGTTTCATCCATTAATTGGTTCCATTTGCCATTTTTAAAGAAATCCATATTAATCATAAATCATCATCATCTGGGTTATGTTTACAACAGTTATTTCAGTGCCTGTGTATTTCTTTTAGAAAAACAACTACGCCAACGGTATATAAAAAGGCATTTCAGTGCCAAGTCACTGTACTTTTATTCATAGCTGGCAGGCCATTTGTAAAATAAAGGTAATAATCATATGATCATATAATCGTAGAATCCCTACAGTGCAGGAAGGGGCCATGCAGTCCATCAAGTCTGCACCAACCCTCCAGAGAACATCCCACTCAAACCCAACCCACCCTACCCCATTGCCCTGCATTTCCCATGGCTAACCCACCTAGCCTGCATATCCCTGGACACTATGGGGCAATTTAGCATGGCCGATCACCTAAACTGCATATCTTTGGACTGTGGGAGGAACTGGAGTGCCCGGAGGAAACCCTCACAGACACGGGGAGAATGTGCAAACTCCACACAGTCGCCCGAAGGTGGAATCGAATCAGGTCGCTGACACTGTGAGGCATTTCATCTCACACAAAAGAATAAGGGATTCACTAAAGTGCAAATTATGTTCATATTTGGGTTGGGTGGAAAGTGTATTTTCTGTCTGCACCATTGCAGATTAAGCCAGCAGAGTCTTTGTCTGCATTATGACGAAAGATTTATCTACTGAGTTAAAAGTCACATCAGTTTCCTTCAAAAGCATGAGGAACAGGAGCTGACAGAAGGAGAGATTCAATGTGAAGTAGGATCAAAGAGGTAGGCTTTGGAAGTTTTTCCAAGGAGGAGCTGTATTTGGACAGAGGTGGGTGCAGAAAATGGGATCCAGGCATACTGAAAACATGAGGGATAGAATATCAGATCAAAAGCTCAGTGATGTCAAGTTTACAAGATGTCATGTTCAATCCAGCAGGATCTGAGGTGTTTGATGTGGGTTAAGAATGTTTAGCTGGAGAAAACTGCAGCTCATCCAAAACTGAACGTCATTTATAGAGTCTGCCAGCAGAGCCAGTTAAGGTGTTAAAAGAGATGGTGGAGAGGTTAGAGCTGGTTGTCAATGTCAACTGCGCAACATCGGAAATGGCATTGGAGAGGGGCATTGTGTAGTTAAGAAGATGAGGAGAATCTGGATGCATTCTAACAGAACACCCATTGTGGGATGATACATTATAGCCACAGGTCATTTCGGTAGCTGGAACTGTGTCTGTACTACTAGAGGAGTGCAAAACCTAAAGGATATGACAGAAAAGCAAGGAATGGGAGAAATGGGCATTCAAAGACTTCAGAGAGAAGAGGGAACTACTGCAGAATGCCTTATTGAGGGTTCACACAGAGTATATTGACTCTGTGTGAATGAAATGGAATACTGTTCCATTGACTAGAACCAAACTGAGCTGCAAGTGCTTAATACAAGTCTGATTTTATTCTGTAAGAGTCCCAAGTGAAGAGACTTTAATCAATTAAATAAGCTTGATTCTCTGCACTGGAATCTGACTTAGCTTTTAAAAATTACTCAACCTCAATCATATTGTCCAAATATCTTGCTGACATTGGGCTAAAAGTATGGGTAACTAACCCATTCCAGCAGCACTGTATTCAGAAATGCATTAGTAACGTGTGCACTGTAACAGTTTTAAAATTGTTTCATAAACCTTGGCATTATTTGCATATTAGAGATTTGTAAGTGAAAAGATTGTCGAAACAATTTTTCATAAAGATTCTGTCACTTTTGCACATTTTCTATTATCAGTAGACAATAAATCTTCTTCAAACTATCCTGACTCAATCTGTTCAGCCCTAAGTGTATAGTTTCATAAAGAAACCAACAACAATTGTTACAGAAATCCCAAGCAAGGACTTCAATCAGGGAAGCAAGAAATAAATTTTCATTTTATATTTCACCCTTAAACTGAAAAAACTTAGTAACAACTGAGATTTTAATTAGATCAAGAAGAATATCGTAAAACTAAAGGATAATGAATTAATGGCCAACATGATAGATCAAATAAAAACAAAACTGTCTTTGACATTTGGAAGGTTAATAAGGTATGAGTAAATAACAGATAGAACCAAGAGCAAAAGGGAATCAAGACTGTCAGTCGGTGAAAGGAAATGTTCCTCTGGCTTCCATTTTCACACAACCTTGAAAGCCCATGTTCAGTTCTTCCTTACATAACTGTACAGGTGGAAGTGCTCACTTCTGGTGAGCCTGTTCCTTCCATATCACTGGGCCATATTTAACACCAAGCTAAGAACCAGAAGATCTATCCTGCGTAGATGCATGAGATGTGTTTCTGTCCCTTCATGCAAAGTTACCTGGCAGAGGCACACAAGTTATAGGTGTTCCTGAGCTACAAAGTAAGGTGATGAAGGACTGGCGTGGTGCCTGATTTGGTCCGAGAGCAGACATGTTGTGATGAGGCTGGTGGTTTGCTGATGCCGCCTTGTGTGACCAAAGGGTCAAGGACAATGGTGGCCATGGAGCAGACAGGTATGTTGTGGTGGAAATTTTAATTCATGGGTTAATTTTTCCTCAGCTATTTTTGGTTTATTGTCAAATGCAATTGCATAAAATCCATGTTGTTATTTTCCATGTTTGAAAATTTTAAATATTCTATCAGTTTTATACATGGTCTGGGTAATTTACATTTCGCGTGTGTGACCCAATATCTGTTAAAAGAATAATACAACCAGGAATATAGCAATTATACTTCCTTAAGATTTGAAGATACAAGTACATAGTTCAAACCTGTCAAAGATGGACCACTTGGTAAGATGAGACCAAACCCATGTTACAAAGCTACTTTATTTTTAGTACCTAACATGTACTGAGAAGTGATAATTAGATTAATTTGGTTCAGTTGGTACAAGTTCTCTTTGAACTAGAAAACAAAACAAACACACCGTATTTTCCCGTATGAGTTGACATCTTAATTAAAATGATTCATAACTATCCACCCACATGCTAATTTTCTACACTTGGCCAAAATTTCCTACGATATTTTCCATTTTAAAAAGTGGACTCATGCATTTCATGGATTATTTGTTACCCTGCGTTTGCTTTTAGTCAGCCTGCATCAATGGTCTTAAGGGTTAGACACTTTCCAATGCAGTGGATAGGAGGTATTTATCATTTACCAAGACAGCAAATGCCCTGCTTACTATTTATGGTCTATGGAGAAATAACATCAACATTTCGTGCCCCAGGATTTTGAGCAACTATTGTTCCCTTGGTCCTGTAAATGAAGTGGTAGCTTCCCTACACTCTGGGCCAGAAATGTCAGGTTCAAGTCCCACCTAAGGCCTTGATGGCCACAGGAAGTGTATGTCATAACATGGTCAAGCAGGTCCTTCCAAAATGCCTCTGGCAGGCTATGAGTGGGAGAGTTTACAGGTCATCCCAAACCATGTGGTGGCTGCAGCCTAATAGCCTCCTTGTATTGCCTTGATCCTTTGCAATTCACCCACTGGCACAACAGGTCCATGGCAGACACCATCTCTCTGGCCCCACACTCATCCCTGGAACATATGGATAACAATGACACCTACGACCGGCTCCTGTTATTGACTACAGCTCTGCCTACAATACCCTAATTCCAAACAAACTCATCTTCAAACTCCGAGACCTGGGTCTCAGATCCCCTCTCTGTAACTGCATGCTTGACTTCCTGATCCATAGAACACAATCAATAAGGACAGGCAACAACACCTCCTCCACCATAATTCTCAACACCGGTGCCCCACAAGGCTGCGTACTCAGTCCCCTACTATATTCCTTATATACCGTTGTGTCCAAATTCCACACCTACTCCATTTACAAGTTTGCTGCTGACACCACCATTGTAGGTCGGATCTCAAACAACAATGAGACAGAGTACAGGAAACAGATTGTTGTCTCTACACCATGCTGCTAAGCACTCAATCTCTCCATCAATGTCAGCAAAACGAAGGACTTCAGGAAGCAGAGTGGGGGGCACGCCGCTGTCTGTATCAATGGTGCTGAGGTGGAGATGGTCAACAGTATCAAGTTCCTGGGAGTGACGATCACCAACAATCTGTCCTGGTCCACCCATGTTGACGCAATGGTCAAGGAAGCACAACAATGTCTCTACTTCCTCAGGAGGCTAAGGAACTTCGGTATGTCTATGAAGACTCTTACTAATTTTTATACATGCACCATAGAAAGCTTCCTATTCGGATTCGTCACAGGTTGGTATGGCAACTGGTCTTCTCAAGACTACACGAAACTAGAGAGTCATGAACACAGCCCAGTCCATCTCACAAACCAGCCTTCCATCCATTGACCCCCATCTATACTTCCCACTATCTTGGGAAAGCAATCAACATAACCAAAGACACCTCCTACCCCAGTTATACTCTCTTCCAATGCGCAGAAGATATAAAGGTTTGAATACACATATGAACAAATTCAAGGACAGTTTCTTCCCCACTGTTATCAGACTTTTGAATGTACCTTTTAAAATGTTAATTCTGATCTATCTCTCTCTCTCTGCACCTTCTGTGGCTGTAACACCATATCCTGCACTCTGTTCTGCAGGATGCACTTTGTATGGTATGATCTGCCTGTATAGCACGCAAAACAACACATTTCACCGTATCTTGGTATATGTGACAACAATAAATCAAACTCAAACTCAAAAAGTCTCCCATGCAGGTCCCTGCCATCAGCAAGTGGAAGAGTTAAAGATCCCTCAAGAACATGAACCATGTGCTCAAATGCCTGAGAAAACTGCATTGCATCCAAACGCTCTGTGAAATGTTCAGTGGTAACTGTGCTGTATTACGTAAATATAACTTCAAAAACAAGGACAGTCTGTATACCTATACAAGCCAAACAGCTACACACTACAAATTGAGAGTAAAGCTGTAGGTCATCGAATGAAAGGGTTAGTAGAAAGGTCGATACAATATCTATTGAGTAATAGGAAATGGAGAGTAATGATCAATGGATATTTTTCAGGCTGTTAGTCACTGACGGCTAACTTGCAACGGCTGCAAGCAATTAGGAAGATAAATGGCATGTTGGCCTTAATTGCTGCGGTACAAGAGGAAAGACATCTTGCTGCAATTTGCATAGAGTCTTGGTGAGACCAGACCTGAAGTATTCTGTACAGTTTTGGTTTCCTTACCTAAGTAAGGATACGTTTGCCATAGAGGGCAGTCAATGGAGGTTCACCAGTCTGACTTCTTGCAATAGTAGAATAAACAAGTGACTCAGAAGAAATCAAAACCTCATAACAAAAAGCAAAATATTGCAGATGCTGCAAATATGAACAACAAACAGAAAACCCTGGAGATACTCAGCAGGTCATGCAGCATCAGTGGAGAGGAATACAGTTAACCATCGAATATTTAAAGTGAGACCAAGAACACACCACCCAGCAAGGGTCAGGCTCCTTGCTCCGAGCTGTGTAGCACTTTAAATGAAAGTTACAGAATTGGCCAGGAGGGAAGTTTGGCAACCAGTTAGAGGTGGTACCTTGTTGATTAAAACAAGTAGCTCCTTAGGAGGTCAAAAGCTGGAAGATGCAGGACAGAGTCAAACAAGTTCAAGGTACAATGCTGGACCCAGCAACAACTGTCCCATCAAACTTCTGTTTTAACACACAAAATTTCACATGTCCTGAAATGAGCCCAACAGCCAGACACTGATGTCCACCTGACTTTTCAGATTCATCGAAATAAAGATAGGAAATGACATTCCTAACTGCACATACCTTTTCACAAGCTCCTTAAGGACTGTAATATCTAGGTGAAACGGGCAAGTGTTGAAAAGTACAAGAAGGAAGAACATGTGGTGGGCTGAAAGAGGGGAGACCAGAACTGACATAAGAACTCATGCTCTGAGCCAAATGGAGTTATAACGTGACAGGAAATGAAAGATATTTACAGAGCAAGTGTGAATGGCAGACTTCTGAATTGTTGCTGTCCAAAAGGAAATTTTAATAAGGCTGGATTTCAGAGTTCTAAAGAACTGTCATATCGGACTGGAAATGTCAACTCTCTTTCCATCTCTCCAGCAAAACAAAAACAGAGGCAAGCTTTTGTTGTTAATCCATCGGATAAAGTGAATTTTCTATCCACCACTGGAACCAAGACATCAAAAGATTATTATGGTGTGTTTAGCAGGCCACAAGCAATTACTGACACTGGCTCTTGATCAGCACTACTTTTAAACAAAGAACATTGTTTATATTGTGGTTAATGCATTTACATTAGAAATCCAATACCTGAAGTAGTTTTGTGATACAGCTGTAACTACTGTTGCCAGAGAACAGCTTCGACTAAAACGGACAACCCACTCCTCCCGCTGTCATTTCATGCGTGTGCAGTTTATGCCGATATTTTTGATTACTTCCATTACAGCCTCTAGTTTCTCAATGGTGAAGAGGTAAAACTAAGCTGCTGCCAATGGGAGACTGTTGAGCTTTTTGCACAAGGCCAGCTAACCCTTTTTTCCACTGTCTCCACAGGAACCATTTACTTTGGAAGGTTGAGGGGTAGGTTACTGCCATCTGGATGGCTGTCAGCAACATAGGCAGATTAACTCATCAGTCACATTTCAACAAACATAGAATACATTCCAAGGGCAGGGACATGGGATGCAAAAGCTCTCCGATTCATCTACTTTCAATTAAACCTTTCTTTTCTCAGAGTTTGTTAAACTCAATACTTCGTAAACATTGTGTTGTTGTTCACAACAGTTCAACATTGCTTTACATTGCCAGTGTAAGGAGTATAATATAGAACACTGCAAAGGTTCACCTCAGAACACAGCCTCACTGCACAGAAAAGCGGCTTTGGTCCAAAGTTGTTCAGACCTAGTCCTGTCTGGTTCCATACAGAGTGCCGCGTTGCAAACCACTCTTTAAAATTCTGCGGTTTGCTGTTTGAGCCAATGAGCAGCAGAGGTAATTAAGAGGCCTTGGACAGCAAGCTCAATTTTAAAAGCATTTGTTAACTTCTGCCAGCACCGCACATTGGTGGAGTTGGGAAAATGTCTATCCATTATAAACATGTCTCCTTATGACGTGCTGGCTGACCAGTTACTCATGGTTTTGGCAGTATTACACTCTATGAAGTGACCCGGTCAAAGTCAGTAAGAAATGAAGTGCTGAGCCATACCTGGGCAGTCACATACGACAACGTCAAAGGTTTTACTCGGTGATCTCAGCAAATGACACATTACATGTAGCTTTCTCGTCTTTACTCTGGGTGCTTTCTGGAGGGTTTGCCTGAAGTGGGATTGAAAAAGTCCGGCTCTGTTTATTCGATTTTGTGAACCTCTTCAGTTCATTAGCAAAAGAGAGGCCTTTCTTCTTCTCCTGCGCAGCCTGCCAAAACATTCCAGAATTTATCGATCATAGAAAGCAACAGAGAGCAGTATGAGGAAGAAATTAGTCATGTAAATATACAACGTGACATCTGGAGAGGGTCAGCTGCTGGATTATTTAAATTAAAGTGGAGCAGAATTCTCTTCAGCATTTTTGGCATAAAAACAAAGAAACAATAGTTATCCAGGCTGCTGATAACATTTCTGAATCATCTTATAAGTTATAATATGGGATTTAACATATTGGCAGTTTATTGAGAAAATATTATACATAATGCTGAACGTATGCAAACCCTCTCCATTTTTGTCATATATACAGCAGAGTATAATCTTTCTGTATATTCTGGAATACAAAACCTCGTGTAAGAGTGTTCTGGTTTTCTTTTCTATACTTTCATTCCTTTGCCGATATTCATATCCGGCCAGTTTGCACTTGCTCACTAGTTGCCCAGATCCTTAATTAACTGGATACTGCCACGGTTAAAACTCAACAGCAAATCAGACGTATTTTCTAATTTTTTCTTAGGATTTGGGTGATGCTGGCAAGACTAATTTTATTGTACATTCCTAGAAATCATTGTCAGACCTTCTTGAATGGATGTATCCCTTGTACTGACCATGCTCCCACAATAATACATACCAACAAGAAGCAGGAGTAGGCCATTCAGCCCCTCAAACCTGCTCTGCAATTTAATGAGAACATAGTTGGTCTGATTGAGACCTCTAATGCACATTTCCATCCACCCGAGTACCTTTCACCCCCTTGCTTGCCAAGAATATATTCACTTCTGCCTTAAGAACACTCAAAGGCTCAGGCTCTAATGATTTTTCAGGGCAAGCGTTTCAAAGATTCTTGACTCTCTGTGAGAAAAAGATTCAACTCATTTTTATCTGAAATGGGTGACCCCTGAGTTTTAAACAGAGTCCCCAAGTCATAGATTCTCCCACAGATGTAAATATCCTCTCCACATCGACCCACTCACAATCCCTCAGGATCTTGTACTGTTTCATTCAAATTGCCTCTGACTTGTCTAAGTTCGGCAGATACAAGCTTAGCCTGTTAAACCTTTCCTCATAAAACAACCCATTCATTCCAGGTACTGGTCTGGTAAACCTTCTCTGAACTGTTTCTAATTATATCTTTCCTTAAACAAGGCAAGATCAGTACGGTACACAGTATTCCAGACATGGTCTTACCAGTTTCCTGTATAAATGAAACATAACCTGTTTTTCTTATTCACTTGTGGGACATGGACAATAGTGAAGGAGCAGCTATTTTTCCAAGTCAGGATGGTGAGCAGCTTGGAGGGGAACTTGCAGGTAGTGATGTTCTCACATATCTGCTGCCCTTTTCCTTCCAGATGGCAGTGGTCGTGGGTTTGGAAGGTGCTGCCTGAGGATCTTTGGTGAATTTCTGCAGCGCATCTTGCAGATAATACACACTGCTGCTACTGACCGTCAATGCTGGAGGGAGTGGATGCTTGTGGATGAAGTGCCAATCCAGCAGGCTGCTTTGTCCTGGATGGTGTCAAGCTTCTTGAGTGTTGTCAGGGCTGCACTCATCCAGGCAAGTGGGAAGTATTCCATCACAGATAGTAGGAACTGCGGATGCTGGAGAATCCGAGACAACAAGGTGCAGGGCTGGATGAACACAGCAGGCCAAGCAGCATCATAGGAGCAGAGAGGCTGACGTTTCGGGCCTAGACCCTTCATCAGAAAAGCTTTTCTGATGAAG